CAGTAACAAAGCCTTTGGAACTGCGGTATTCATCCGGTCCCAAAGAATCCGGGTTGTCACCGTGCGAATGACCGTAGGCGCACAGAACGGTGGATGGTTGAACGATACTGAATGGTTCGATGGCAGCTTTCGGTCGAGGTACCGGGCCTTCGACCCTTTCTTGACCGTTAGTATGTCGGTTAGCCTCCTCTGCCTGTTGTTTCGAAGACTCGCGCTGCTTCATATCGTCGTTATTCTGCTGGGCATCCAGCTCCTTCAGGGTCGCCTCGGTGCCGCGTATTTTGCTTTCGATCAACTGCAGTTCCTTACGTTTTGCTGCCAACAATTGTGCCTTCTGAATGCAGGCCAAAACGTGTTTCAGTCTGTCCAGAGTTTGACTTGCTTTCAGATGTTCCGCCTCCTTCGACTTCAGAGTATCCTTGATTTCATTCAGCTTATCGCTAAGCATCTTTCGACGAACGTTCGCCTTCTCAATCTCTTGCTTTATCTTATAGAGTTTCGCGTACTGGGCCTGCTTGCTCGTCAGGTAGTGCTTCATCGCCTCCAACTTGTCAGCGTTTACACCGCCACAGCCTGTCAAGAAAGGAATTATATGACAAAACTTTTCCGAACATAAAAAAATTAATATAGTGCTAAAGGAACAAGGTAAAGATGTAGTATAAGAAGAGAAGGAAAAGGAAATGAGTGTTATGAAGAAGGATTAGATGCAATCTAGTAGCATATAAAAACAACATAATTATCACTTGGCACAGAGTAGCACAAACGAGTAACAACTAACATGAAGGGATGTGCTAATTAAAGTCTAAAAGAAACATCCCGATGGCCTTTCATGAAACGCGCTATTATTGAACTAGCACTAAGAGCTCGAGTAAAGAAATAATCACAACGAAATGAACCACATAACTGTAAAGAACAAGGATGCACAGAATGCAATGAAGAGAAGATTAAGACGGAAAGATGAGAGAACGAGAGATAAATAGGTGTAGAGGGAAGCAGAGGGAGTTAGAAATGGATGTAATGAATCATCAATTAAGAGTAACAGAACCATCACATGGGAAAGTGTATCATGAGCCAGTAATTGGATAACTATATCAGTATGATTTGCAAGAACGTAACTAGTAGTGTAAAGCGTCATATTGGAATAACCAATTCAAGATGAAAATGAACGTCAAGACAGCAGGGGGAGAAATATCACCGAAGTTGTTCACAACAGCCTTAAAAGTCTTAACAGTCTCTAAGATACTCCACTGGATATATCAGAGGCTGAAGATAAACGGAAACTACTTAAGTTCTCTACAATTCGCAGACTTCTGATCCGCTGACAGTCATCAGAAGAACTTCAATGAAGAATCATGGATCTGAACGCCAGGAGCAAAGCAGAACAGAAAAAATTGGACATGAAGAAAATGCATGCCATGTTAAACAAATGCGTGAATGCACGACCTGGTGAAGTCCATGGACTCAAGGTAGAAGAAGCACAAAACTATATTGGAGACAGCTTATTTTTGCAAATAGAGAATCGACCATGAAAAATCAACAGAAAAATTAAAATTGCCATGGAGCATTTTTGGAAGAATGAAAATGCTCCTAAGTGGGTGACTCTAATGCTAACCTATTAATGCGAAATGTAAACCCTAAACTAGAAAATTATTCTTCAACTGCAGACAACACAACACAATATGGAAAGATGACTGTTGGAAATAAGCAAAGACAGAGGGACGAATAAATGAGTAAAAGCACAAACAATGAACGATGAAGTCACTATTCCAGTCAAAAAGCTAAAGCGGCAATGAGCTGGGCACTTTATTCGAAGAAATGACCTTCGTGAGACCAGAAAGACATTTTCGCTGAATTAAGAGAACGAAAATGAAGGATAACAGAAGTTCATAGTAAAGTTTTGGAAACACCCTAATCCAGCAGTGGATCGAAAAGGATGCTGCTGATATTGATAATTAGGATTTATGCGAAACACCGTCAAAAACTCATGAAATGAGCTATTACTTAGTTAGTATTAACGAGTACTATTGCAGTTCATATGCTACGTGGGGGTTATTTATTTAGAAACACCTGCTCCAAAATACCCGAGATTATAAATCTTTTATTCAAAGGCCACTGAGCTCAGATCTCGCTTTTAAACGGGGAGAATCGTGAAATGATACGCAAGTAAATATGTCCCAATAAGCGTTATCACTGATACGAAACAAAATAAACAAACAACCAGACTGAAATAAAAACAGCAATAACAATAAAACGTGTTTATTGAAATTCAATGCAAAGCGCTCACATATCTCCATAACGTAAATTTACTCATGCTATCGATGCTTGAACATGTCTTGCAACTATACGTTTATGCACACACATCTCCATGCATGTAATCCCAAACGCCTGGAAGACTGCTGTCAAAACTGAGTAACTTGGCTATAAAATCTCCAAGTCTGAATAAACTATAATTCTGGACAATACGCATAACAACAGATGCGCATGACCAGATGAAATTCAGAATATGAAGAGGTTAAGAAATCAAGTAACGAACATCTAAACTGTTAAGTAAGGAGACTCGAAACTCTTTCAGCCACTATACTTCTGCTTGTCGACAACGCCACATATTTTGAACCTGTATCGAAAGCGAATCATAAACAAAACTACATCTGATCCATGATCCTGCTGTCGAACAAAGGACAAAATCGAAGCCATGCGCGATCATTCAACCCGTAAGATTGTATATTAATCGTACACAGGATGTTACTAAACCATCTATAAAAAATTTGCAATTCATGCAGAGAGCTACAAACTAAAACTAAGTTTGCACAATATAGCCAATCAAATAATTCAATTCGAAACTTCGGTTTTACTTTGCCGTTCCAACGATTTCAGTTTAGCATCCTTTTCCACGATGTGCGTATGGTTCGAACTGATAAGAGCACTCCGTTGTTCTGCGATCAGAAACAACTCTTGGATCGGTATGTTCCTCAATATCGGCACTCTGGGTGACGACCGCCAGTTTTTCGATGTCTGAGTGCTAACCATCATAGCAGACTAAATAATAGAACATCAAAGGTCAAATTGCTCTGACCTCCACCTTCTCTGGTATCAAAAAACAGTACAATTCGATTGTCATGTTTTAACGAATCAAAAAGAACATTTACGAAAACGCATTCAAATTTTGTCTAAAATACTCGATGTAGCAAATCGATCT